GACGACGCCGACGACGATTACGACGACACCGACGACGACTCCGACGACTTCGACGGCGATGACAACGACGACGACGATGACGCCGACGCCGGCGACGACGACGATGACGACGCCGACGACGACGCCGACGACGACGACGACGACGACGACGCCGCTGACGGCGACGACGACGACGACGACGCCGACGACGACGACGACGACGAAGACGACGACGACGACGACGACGACGACGACGACGACGGCGCCGACGACGACGACGACGACGACGAGAAAGATTTCGGCATCCGCGCGCAGCTGCCGCGCGCATGTGCCCCACATGGTGTTTCTTATAAAGGGATTGTGGCCCTGGCAAGCGCGCGGCCGATGTTGAAGAAGTTCGACGCGCGCGCAAAACTTGTTGGCATGACCGCAAGATTGAAAACATGTGTTTTTTTTCAGGGTTCGGAAAGCGCGCGGGTATTTTGTTAGTTTGTATTTTGATCGAGGATATATGGTGCGATTCGTGTGGTTTCATGAAGCTCGGTTTTGAAATCGTTGAAACCACAAACTGTTTGGAAGGATTTCGACCTGCTCGCGTGGCGGCCGCGCGCATGTGCCCCGCATGGTGTTTTTTTCAAGGGGTTGTGGCCCTGGCAGGCGCGCGACCGTTGTTGAATGAGATCGACGTGCGTGCAAAAGTTGCCCAAGAAGCCCGATTTGACAGGAATGTTGAAAAAACCCATTAGTTTTTGAAGGATTCAACAACATCGCGCGGGCATAAAGGGCCGTCCTGAAGGGCTTTTCGGCGTCTTGGATGCCTCGGGGGGGCCTCTTTGGGCCGCTGGAGATCCTCTTGGGGGCCTCCTGGGGGCCTCTTGGGGGCCTCTTGGGGCCATCTTGGGGCACTCTTGGGGCCTCCTGGGCGCTTTTTGGGGCCGTCTTGGAGGAGATCGATCACAGGAGGGGGGGGCACGAATTAGCGTCCCCCCCATCAGGAGGCCAAAATGGGGCCAAAACCTTAGTAAAATCAGTGATTATGGCTTCCTCGCCGAGGCCGTTTTGGACCCCTTGGCACCTCCCCGCCCCTCCCGTCCAGGTCCACGGGGAGGGGGTAGGGGGAGGGGTAAACTTCTCCCCGAAGGGGAAGAGGAAGGGGTGGAAGAGGAAACGCCCTAAACCACCGACGCCCAGAGGGCTGGTGGGATTTCTGGGTGAGGCAGTAGTTTTTTTTGTTGGTGTTGTTTTCTATGGTTTTCTTGAAGCGGGACTTAAGAATTGTTGAAAACACAGTTTGTTTTGAAGGATGTTGAAAGGATTTGACATGCGCGCGCGGCCGCCGCGCGCGTGTGCCCCGCATGGTCTTTCTCCACACGGAATTAGCGAACAAGTGTTATGTTAAAGCAAACGATGCCACCGTATAGGATTTGTTGCAAGGGAACCGAGGGGGGACCGATACCGGCTTATAGTATGAATTCACAGGTAGGATGGACATTGAGTCAGAACCACTTGTGTTTTGCATGGGTTCCCGGGGAATCGACAAGTCAGGGGGATGGAGGGTGGTATAACGTTTTTCCTTCGTAGTCAGGAGAGTTCATTTGACGAGCTTGAAGTTGTCAACTCCACTGCTCGCGCAATCATCCCACCCACCCACTCGCAATTTGGTTTTCAAAACCCATGCGGAAGTGATTGCGAAGAGTGCTTTGTGTTGGCTGGTGCATCTGTGCGCTCGGTTTTGAATTCTTGGACGCTCGATTTTGAAATCCTTACGAAACCGGTGATTTTTGAAGGATTTCGGCATGCGCGCGCGACGGCGCGCGCGTGTGCACTTCGTCTTGTTTTTTTTCTTTTTGCACGGGATACTTGAAAACTTCTGATGTTTGATAAACGAGTGCGCGCGCATAGTATTCTTTGCAGAGGATGGCGGGGGGGTCAATACCGCCTTTGTTGGGGTGGTATGAACTCATGTTTAGGATGGACGATGGGGCAGAATCATATGCACATTGCAGTGCGACAGGGTGGGTCGATAAACCCTGGTGTGGTGCTGGTGCTGTTGGTCGAGTTTTTTGTATATAGAAAAAGAGAATGGATTTCAACAAGCGAGTTGACACATCCCATGCTCTTACAAACGTCCCACCCACCCACCCGCAACTTGTTTTGCAAAACCCATGCGGTGGCGATTGCGATGCATGCTCGGCGTTGGCTGGTGCATCTTTGCGGCCGCGTCAACCCAAGCACGCGCGCGCAGCGGCCAGCTAGTTTGGCGCCACCGACGCGGCCGCGGTGGCATTGACCGCTGGGCGCATCCCAGCGGACACTTCAGTGCGAGTCGGCGACTTTGGCGGGCGCGGTACCATGGCAACGTCGACAACAGTAGACACGAGGATGATAGTAGCGATGCTGGTGACGATGCTGACTGCGAGACGGGGCAGCCAGTGACCGTTCCGATGCTGATCTCGCTGACGGCGATGACGGCGTCTTCGCGTCGGTCATGAAGGTTTTGGAAGGGGTTCGACATGCGCGCGCGGCCGACGCGCGAGAGTGGCCCGCATGATTTGATTTGACCCGTTCGTGCCACCCCAGCACGCGCGCAAGGGCGTTCGAACGATTTCGACATGCGCGCGCGACGCTGGTTTGGTAGCACGTTATGAACATGTTGAACAACTTATGGTTCCCCCGAGAATTCGCAAGAGCGCGCGCGCAAACTTTTGTTGAAAATTGGCGTTGCAAACCCTTGTGTTTTTGTATGTTTTTGTTTGACATTCAGTTTTGAATGTGTTGCCAAACTGGTGGTGTTTGAAGGATTTCGGCATGCGCGCGTGACGGCGCGCGCGTGTGCATTTCGTTTCACTTTTGAAAGCGATTCGTGACAATTGATGGTTTTTGATAAACGAGTGCGCGCGTATAGTAGTTTTTTGCAGAGTATGGCGGGGGTCGGTACCGGTCTGGCCGAGATGGGACGAGTTCATATTTAGGATGGGCGATAGGGCAGAGTCATATGTTGCAATGCGACAAGGTGGGTTGATAATCCCAGGGGGGCCAAGTCTTTTAGACAGGGGAAGATCTGTTGTGCAATCTTCGTGGTACAGTTGATTTTACCCATGAGTTGACACATCCCATGCTCTTGCATACATCCCACCCACCCACCCGCAACTTGTTTTGCAAAGCCCATGCGGTGGCGATTGCGATGCATGCTTTGGCTGGTGCATCTCTGCGGCCGCGTCAACCCAAGCACGCGCGCGCAGCGGCCAGTTAGTTTGGCGCCACCGACGCGGCCGCGGTGGCATTGACCGCTGGGCGCATCCCAGCGGGCACTTCATTGCGAGTCGGCGACTGGCGGGCGCGGTATCATGGCAACGCCTGGTACGGTAGACGCGATGATGATAGTGGCGATGCTGGTGACGATGTTCGCACCGACGAAAGCGCGGCCAGTGCAGGCGCCGATGCTGATCACGCAGGCGGCGATGACGGCGTCCTCGCGTCGGTGATGCAGGTTTTGGAAAGGGGTTCGACATGCGCGCGCGGCCGACGCGCGCGAGCGGCCCGCATGGTTTTATTTGACACGGATCGTGCCCCCCCAGCACGCGCGCAGGGGCGTGCGAATGATGTCGGCATGCGGTGCCAGAGGCCATTTTAGCAGAATTCCATGATGATGTTGAAAAATCGTTTTTTTATATAAAAAATGTTTTAAAACATGTAAAAAAAAGAAGTTGCAAGAGCGCGCGCGCACGCTTTTTCTGAATATTGATGTTGCGAAACTTTGTGTTGTGGATTTCTTGTGACATTCGGTTTTGCACTTGTTACGAAACCGAAGATTGTTGAAGGATTTCGGCATGCGCGCGCGACGACGCGCGCGTGTGCATGTCGTCCCGCTTTTTTGTAAATTCTCGCGACGGCACGCGCGCAAAGGCGTTCGAACGATTTTGGCATGCGCGCGCGTGGCCCGTTTGGTAGTACTGTTTGGTCGTATGTTTTGGACATGTTGAACACCGGTGTTTTTTTCCGAATTCGCAAGAGCGCGCACGTTTTTTTGTTTGTTTGTTTTTTGTTTCCTTTGATTTTTTTCCCCCTCCTTTCCCCCTTTTTATAATTCCTTGGCGTATTTCAACAAAAATTGGCATTGGGAAGCCATGTGTTTTATGTGTTATTATGACATTCGATTTTGATATCCCTCCGGAACCGAAGGTTTTTGGACGGATTTCGGCGTGCCCGCGCGACAACGCGCGCGTGTGCACTTCGTGCCATTTGTTGCAAGGGGTTTTCGGAATTTTATGTTCTTGTTGATAAACGAGTGCGCGTGCATAGCATTCTTTGCAGAGGATGGCGGTGGGGGGGTCGCTGCCGGCTCGGCTGGGATGGTACGAAATCATATTTCGGATGGACGATGGGGCAGATTCGTATGTAATTGCAATACGAGAAGGTGGATCGATAAAGCGGGGGGGACGGGATGGATCTTAATTCTGTTTAGGAAGGAGAGTCTATGCGGCGCAATCTATGTGGTGCAGTTTTTGTTGCGCAATCCAGGCGTCGACGGGGTGGGCAGCGATGAGGCGGCGACGGGGCGACGACGGCGGTCACATAGCCGCAGCACCGAAGACACGGGCCAGACGACGGGCGGCGACGAGGCGGCGACGCGATAGCGACGGCGAGTACGCAACCGCCACACCGGCCATACGGCCCAGTTCCTTAGAGCACGAGCAAGGGTCCTTAGGTGCAAGCGCTGTTGGGGGCATAATCCCATTACGTCGGCACTCAGCCTCCCGCGCGACTTTGGCTCAATCTAGTGGTGTTGGATCCGCTCCGTTTCTGCCCACGCTCGCCCCTCCTGGCGAAACCAGAGAAGCTCGGAGGGATCGCCGGGGTGGGCGCCTCGGTCATGACTCGCGGGCGCCTGTCTGAGAGGGCCTCGGCGGCGACCGGATGCCTCTGGCCACCAGGCACCCGAAACTCTCTCTAGGCCGATCCCAGACATCAGCAGCTGCGATGCAGAACAGCACGGGGCCAGGGGTGGCTCGTCAGCCCAGGAATCACAGGCGCTGCTGCGCCGCTCGGATCCTGTCGCGCGTCGATCCCGAAAAATTTCGCGCGACGCGCGGCGTCGCGCACCCCTGGCGGGGTGCCGGACGTGTTCCCGCAAGGACCGAGCGTGTTCCACTGCTCGCAAAGTGCCCATTACTCGCAAACGTCCGAAAAATGACATGCCTCCCTCGATGTTAGGCATCGTGAATCCACTTGTGAGCAGGTACTTTGCAAGTCGCGGAACGACCATGTCCGCGCGCGCGCGGGGAGTCCTCTCCAGCGGCGCGCGCGCGCGCGGGGAGTCCTCTCCAGAGTAGTGCGCGCAAGGGGCGTCGCTTGGTCTGAAGCATCGCGCGCCTCCCGCTGGGCAGCCACTGCGCGAGCAGGGCGGGAAGGGCAATGCGGTAGACCGCACTGAGGCCCTCCAGAGCTGGAAGGGGTCAGGAGCATCTCCTCGGCAGGCGCGTCTGAGAGAGTACTGCGATTGCTCACATGCTTCGGTTTCAGCGGTTTCTTTTTGCCGATCGGGGCCTGCACAAGGAAACGACACATCGCCCTTCCATGTTTCTCTTCCGCGTCGTTGTTTTGATCCTCCTCTTTTTCCTCCTCCTCATCTTCCTCCCTCTCCTTTGCCTCCTCCCCCCACTCCGTCCCCTCTTCTCCGCCCTCCTCCTCCTCCCGTTCCTTTTTCGCCTCCTCCTCCTCCTCCACTTGGCGCCCAGCCGGGACGCGATCGGGTCACTCTCGGGATGCGATCGGCACGTCACCAACACGCCGTCGGAGCACATCTGCCACCTCGCGGGGCTCAAGGCGAGCACACATCGCCTGGATACCGCACATAGCCGTTTGACCCCGTGCGCGCCGCACGCCCATCTCGAAGAAGGACACGCGGCGTAAGCACACACTTTGGTTCAGTCGGGCCTGTCCTTCTACAGGAGGAATGTTCAAAAAGAGTCAAAACATAATCAGGGGACGTTTTCTCTATTATGATCATGTTGGAGTACTTTTTTACAATGTTGTATTTTTCGTCCAAAATCGGCCTGTACGGGGACATGCCCGACCTAACACTCTGGGAAGGCCGCGCGGATGTTCTCGGATCGGCGCGGGGCCCCCCCGCCCTGGCAGGCAGAGCGTGCCGGGAGCCGCGCCGGAGGCGCCGCAGGCGGGGGGGCCCGGCGCCGATCCGAGAGCAGCCGCGCGGCTTTCCAGAAGTCCAGGCATGTTCTGTTGGTGGAGGGCAGAAGGTGGAATCAGAAGTGCCGTTTCGATTGATCCTCGAGGTTTGAATCTGCACAAGTCGGGTATGGCCAGGACCCGGTTAAGGGGAGCCGGTTCGTGATTGGTCCCCGAAGCCCAAAATATGGATTGGCATCGCTAAGCCAGGTCTGCGGAATGGGACGGGGGGTGGCGCCCCCCGGCACACATCTTTGAACCAGGTCCCACTAAGCCCAGTCCCGCCAACGGCCGAACAAGGTGAACCTCAAGACGGATTGATTTTGAGGTACAAAAGCCCATATGGATTTCACCCTGAGCCCTCCACCCCAAGAGAATGCGCAGGAAGTGTGCGTTTATGTAGTTTGTTGTTCCTCTTCCCACCACCTCCCGAGGACCCACCAGCTCGGCGGCGCGCCGAGGGGGGAAGCGAGAGGGGGGGACGGCGTTCTCAGAAGGCGGCCGGGCTTCTCAGAAGTCCTCGCGCCTTCTGAGAAGCCCCCTGTGGGTAAGGAGAAGGATCAGATCGAGGAGGAGATCGACTGCGGAAAATACGAGCAATCCTTCGTGTGCCCACGAACATCCTGTGCACTTCTTGCTTGCTAGCTTCGACGAGAAACTCGATTTGGGATGGGGGTACACCAGCTCTGTAGCCGATCTCCAGAGAGCCTCCCAGAGGGCCCAGAGAGGCTTCTCCAGAGGTTCAGAGGGCCAGCAGGGGCCCTCTGAGCCTCCCGAGAAGGCCCGCCCCCTCTGAGCCTTTCCCCCCTCGGCGCGCCGCCGGCATCAGCTCCCGAGGATCATGGCGCTCAGGGTGGCCTCCGCGCTGGCCGGCCTCGCGCTCGCAGAGGCCCTCGCGGGCCAGCAGGCCCAGGAGCTGGACAAGCGCGGGCACAGGGGCGCGCGCGCCGAGAGGGCGGACGCCTCCAGGGCCACCAGGAGCCATTTGTCTTATTCTCTCGTGCTATCGGCCTTCCCTCCTCCTCCTCCTCCTCTTCCTCCTCCTCCTCCTCCTCCTCCTTCTATGTCCTCCTCCTCCTCCTCCTCCTCCTCCTCCTCCTCCTCCGTCCTCCCTCCTCCTCTTCCCCTTCCTCCTCCTCCTCTTTCTTCTCCTCCTCCTCCTCCTCCTTCTCCCTCCTCCTTCTTCCTCCCTCCTGCCTCCTCTCTCCTCCCCCCTCCCTCCTCCTACTCCTCCTTCTCCTCCTCCTTGCTCTTTCTCCTCCCCCTCCTCCTCCTCCTCCTCCCCCCCCTCCTCTTAGTCGGACGGTAGATTAGCAGCGTTTGCCGGGTACGAGAGGGCCTGCTTTCCGCCGCCATTTGGCTCAAGGTCGACCTTCCGCGCCCGCTATAATACACACATCACCCTTTCGCATCGCCTTACATTCGGGATAGAAGCATCTCTTTCATCCGTCCCTCTACATTCTTAGTTGCTAGCGGAGCCTCTTGCTCCACCAGCTGCCTCCATGGCCCACGTGGCGCGCTGCTTTGCCCCTGGTGGTTGCTCTACATCGTCATCGACGACTTCCCGTTTTCACAACCAGTGCAAGACCAGAAGGACGGCTCCCCGCGTTTCTTGTCTTCCGAGCTGCTTCGAACTATGTTCGATAGTCTCGGGGCGTCTTCGTCGCCACGGTCCCCGCCTGTGGGGGTGACCGCTGATGTCACGCACTCGCGTGGAACGGCATCCACGTCCGCGGTGACAATGCAAGACCCCGAGCTAAGCGCAACTGTGTTGCGACAGCCCGAGGGAGAGAAGGACCAAAACGTCCCGCCTCCATTGCACTCGCTCGTGGGTGTAGCCGACCATGTCAAGCAGTCGTTGGATCCGAAGCTCACATCGTCGGTGGTACCAGATCGTCCCGAGCCAAGCGCAATACTGTTGCTGGATCCGGGGGAAACAAGTGGAGGAAAAAGCGGGAGTACGAAAGAGGGTCGGGCAACTGTTGCCCGTCTTACGGAGTGCTGTGGGGAGTCTGGGACTATTCGCTGTCGGTTCTCGGGGGCACGACCCTCGACGTTACCTACGCTCTCCCTGCAGGACAGACCTGGATCCCTATACGTACTCCTCCTGATTATCATCCAGTTGACAGCGCACAGCACAGCGACAATGCGACGCACGACGGGCTGAAGCGCCACTATGTGGCGGGATGCTCCGAGTGTAGCCTGCAAGCCAATCGTACGACAGAAGAGAACATCCAATACGCTGATGAAGAAGAGCTTGCCAGGGACCGATATTCTGGCCGCCAGCGAGGCACAACGGCCTCGCTTGATCACCGGACTCGAAAAGTAGATTCGCAGTGTTTGCCGGGTACGGGAGGGCTTTGTTTCCCGCCGCCATTTGGCTCAAGGTCGACCTTCCGCGCCCGCTGTGGAACACGCGTCCCTCTTAGACACCGCTTTACATGTGGGATGCAATTAGATTTTTGGTATCCATCACTCTGCAGTCTCTTCGTCCCTTTCCTCCTCCTCCTCCTCGTCCTCCTTCTCCCCCCCTTCCTCTTCGTCCTCCTTCCTCCTCCTGCCTCCTCCTCCTCCTCATGTTCGTCCTCCTCCTCCCTCTTCCTCCTCCTCTTCCTCTTCTCTTCCTCGTACATTGGCCCTTCTCGGCCCATGTCTATGTGGCACGTGCCCCCGAACCATAGCGTGGCTTGCTTGTCCCTGCAAGTCAGGAGAACGTATGGGACGAGGATACAAACCTCCTCCTCCTCCTCCTCTTCTTTCTTTTCGTCTTCCTCTTCCCAGATCGCGAATCGTTAACGGAACGTCTCCAGGACCGACAGGAGTGGGTCCTGCGACTGCATGAACTGGGCGGAGGTCTACTACGACAAACATGCCTCCTGCGGCCGAGCCAAGGAGCAGAGGAGGACAAGTTACCTATACCGCTACCGCCTCCCCGTCTCCATGAACTTGGCGTTGTATCCTCGAGGTCCTCCTCTTCTTCCTCCCCTTGCTCGTCCTCCTGCTTCACAAAGTCCTTCCCCTTCGGCATGAGCTGGTTTCGCCGGCGCTCGTTTCGCCCTGCTGGTTTCGCCCATGGCTGGTTTCGCTAGCGGCTGGTCTCGCCGGCGCTGGTTTCGCCGGCGCTGGTTTTGCCGACGCCATCGTCGCCGTCGGCGTCGCCGTCGCCGCTGTCGTCACGTCGTCGTCGTCGTCGTCGTCGTCGTCGTCGTCGTCGTCGTCGTCGTCGTCGTCGTCGGGTGTCGGGCGTCGGATCCGAGCGGTCGGGTCGGGTCGAGCGGGCGGACCCTAGCGGGCGGGTTGGGTCGGGTCGGGCGGGCAGACCTTAGCGGGCGGGTCGGGTCGGGTCGCGCGGGCGGACCCTAACGGGCGGGTCGGGTCGGGCGGGCTGGACATTACAGTATGGGGTGCGCTCGACCTTCCACGCGCGAGCCCTAACGGGAGGTTCGGGGTGGGCGGGTGGACCCTAGCGGGCGGGTCGGGTCGGGCGGGCGGGACATTGGACTGTGGGGCGCGCTCGACCGGGCGCGCGCGAACCTTAACGGGCGTGTCGGGTCGGGTGGGCGGACCCCACCAGGCGGGTCGGGTCGGGCGGCCGGGCCCCAGAGGGCGGGTCGGGTCGGGCGGGCGGAACATTCAAGTGTAAGGCGCGCTCGACCGAACACGCGGGGACCCTAACGGGCGGGTCGGGTCGGGCGGGCGGGCCCCATCGGGAGGGTCGGGTCAGGCGGACAGACCCAAACGGGCGGGTCGGGTCGGGCGGGCGGGACATTCTAGACTGAGGCGCGCTCGACCGATCACGTGCGAACTGTAACGGGAGGTTCGGGGTGGGCGG